AGGACACAAGGGATGCAGCTTTTCTGAAGCCTGAGGAGCTATGGAAACCAGCTTGCGTTGTTGTGGCCAACACAAGTGAGAGCTGATGGAGGTTCCTGAACTTGAGCTAAGGCTATGTCAAGCCAGTTGCATGTGTTTACAGCATGATCCTGGGACTTCTGATCTGGCTTTTTGTAGAACTTGCGTCCTCAAAGCTTATTAGTTTCTGGTTATAGTTTCCAGAGCTAAAAGCAGATGTACTGTTTTCAGCAAGAAGCTGGCCCTGAGCTGTAGCTGGGTTCTCAGCTCTGACTTTGAGTGCATGAATGCCATTGAACATAAGTTGGACCTGAACTATTTGCATTTCTGATTTTGTTAATTTGTTATCTATGCCCACTACACAGGGACAGATAGAAGTATGAGGGCTGAGAAATTTTGGAAAAATATTTTTAGTAACTTGCTGACAGTGAAAGTCTTGAAATAATCTATTTTTATTTTTTTATACATGACAGTCAATACTGTGTTGGTCTGTGCTGATTCAAGGTAATTTTAATATACTGTCAGAGTGACTCGATAAATGATCCATGAACTGTACATACTTCTTGTACTTTATAGCATTTTTTTCTAATGAATGGAATGGTAATAGGCTATGTAATCTGAAAGCTCACAAAAGAAACTTCTGGTATTTCTTCCCACAACTTCATGTTTTGAAAACAGCTATTTTCAGCTGGAGCTGAGCTTTCATTTCAGAGGAAAATAAATTACTTTAGCATGTGTTTTTGCAAGGTGCTGAAGGCACACCTGGAAGACTAAAAAAACAGAAGGCAAATTTAAAACAAAAAGCTTAAAAATATAAAAAAAATTCCTTGTGATTTTAAAGATATTTTTGTAATTTTAGGTTCTGAAACACTTCTGGATGTTTGGAGTGCCAGTTTTTTCAGGCTTCTTATATAAACACATAAATGGGTAATGTTATCAGCAGTTGCTGCAACTATTTGGATGAATAAAATTACTCTTGTGCCTTCACAAAGCCACAGAGGACACAAGGAGAGATATGAGACTTAGTTCATGAGGTCCCTGATCGTATGTTACAAGGGTATCATGTAGTTGAAATCAGCATAGGTGTAATATTGGATCAGCACTGTAGCTAATCATAGCCTAGGCCTGTACTTTAATTGAAAGACATTCTTCCATATTCAGTGTTAGAAAGAACAAAAGATACTTATTAAATCATTAATTAATAAATTGTGGGAGTTGGTTTTATTTTCTAATCTGTGTAGTTACAGTGACAGAGGAGGCTAAGGGATATAGAGCCATTTCTTTCAGTAACTAAACTTACTTTTAATAAATTCTCTGTCCTTTGCTTTAAAAGAGGTGCTTATAAGGCTGACATGTTTAGATACCTCACTCTGCTCTGGTCTGCTTAGGAAGTAAACAAGACAGAATTCATAGAAACAAATTCACCTGCTAGTGAAGAGAAGATACTACTGCTACTAGTGAAAAGGAGACCATGTGGTCACCTGGCCTCAGTGAGCCTCTAGAAAGCTAAATAGCAATCGAAACTTGTCTCGTTCTCTGCTTTGTTTAGGGTGCTGCCAGGAGTACCCCGTTTGGCCCCCCCCTCCAGGGCCTTTTCTCATTCTTGTGTTTTTTTTTTTTTTTTTTCTTTTAGCCCTTTCTCCGTCAGGAAAGATTTGTGCCCACTAGCTTGGACTTGAAGGAAGAACACTTATGATCTTTTGCCTTTCTTTGATTCTTCTTATCATCCTCACTCCTCACCTTCCATACCAAACTGTCTCACTTCTTATTCAGCTAGTAAAGCAACCTACTAGAACCATTTTTTCGTTATGATAGGTTCCCACAAGAGTTTAACACTACTGTAGGAAGATAGAACAGTATTTTTTTGGTTTGAATGCTTTAGCTTTGTCTTCACTGATGAGGTGCAGTTGAATGTTTTCTTTTTTGTTATTTTATGTCACTATAAGGAAAATGAGAAGGGGAATGCCATCTAGATTTAAAGTATTTGGAGGATAAAATAGGACTAATACGATGTGTTCATATTCACTGCAATGTTAATGTTCAAGTGTATTTGTGTAATGGTGTTTTCACCAACCTGTGGTATTACTTGCAGTTGCTGTAAAATTAGTACAATGTTTCCCAATACATTCAATTTTGGAGAACTGTAAGGAGGCAGCAACCATTGGTATTGTACTAGTAACTCAGTAAAGTAGCACGCTCTTCATTTGAAAGCAGTTCTGTCTGTATTGTCAAACTGATCAATTTTAGAGCTGCTTTTAAAAATCTGTTTATCAACCCAACTGTTAAGAGGTTCATACCACATTAGCCAGCAGTATGTACACTCACAAAGTACAGATGCTGAAATAATTTTTCAGTATTTTTCCTTCCAGCACATAAAGTCCCAGATTCATCTCACATAACTCCAGTCTTTTAAATGAGGTATCTGGAATAGGAATATATTAGCTATATTCAGTAAGGAGTGAAAGGCATGTGTGAGGGGATTAAATTTCATAAAGTACAGAGCAGCAGCCCTCTAAAAATTAAATCTGTTAAGAAGTTTAGAGATACTGAGGAATCAGTTTCAGTACTCGAAGATTAAATTTAAGGGCATGCATTTTCAAGTCAAAATTACTCATTGTGGCGCCAGCCACTATAGAACAGAATTGTAGGAATAATAGAGCAGGGAGGCCAGTTTCTTCCATTCTTTTAGATAACTCCCTTAAGAAGTTGATGATCATCTAATGCTCAGTGGAATCCGGGAAATTTCTGTGATAGAGTCAGACTTTAGAGGAACCCATATTCCACCATCAGCCTGAACACAACATAATATGAGACAGGCAGCGCTGATTTACTAGACAGATTAATCATTAGGAGTGGAAGTCTTTGAGTCACGAAGGCTGGATGTTCATCTCTGGGGGAATGAAACATAGAAATGTGATCATCAACAGCTGACCTAGTTAACTGAAGAGTTGCCCAGACTAATTACTGGTCATTCTAAACTTGTGGACAAAATTGATCTTCTCCTTGCAGTTTGTATGTCTGTCTCCTGAACAGTTAAGAAAGGTTCATAGAATGATTTTAGTTAGTGGGGAGAAGGAATCTGCTTGGTATCCTGCAATTATTTCTGTTTCAAAGGAAAAATGTTTTAAAAATAACAGAGAAGAATTAGCAGCATGTAACCTAAGGCCCAAAAATATACATATCTAAATGTAGACAATGAGTTCATGTCTGCTTGTCTTCTGAAATATGATGCTGTTACTGTCTTTTGTCACATATTTATCCAGAAATGTGTTCAGACGATGTTTAGCATTTGTGACTTCTTAAGATTTCTGTACTTAATTCATTACTGACGGGGAGAAAGCTGAATACACACAAGGTGTATGTGTGAAAATTTAAATTCTGAAATTGAGTATGTTGTTCATGTACAGATAGCACAAAGAATGGTTAGATGTAGCTAAGCAAATTCAGTAATTCTGGAGACATCCTCAGGGCTTATACAACACAGACTACAGACTTGTGACACTTATTGTTGTCAAGATGCCTGCCGGTCTCTCAGTTGAGGCTTTCCCTGAAGAAATATTGATGATTACAGGGCCAAAATTCTAGTATATTCACAGAATTAGTTGTGACCTTCCTTCTGTATTTATGTGTGTACTGAAGACTATTATTTTCTCAAACATTGCCTAGGAATCTTTTGATTAACCTCTGTGGGCTCAGGCCAGACTGAAAGTATCTGTCATACGTTGTGCAGAAATTCCAAGTCTAGTTTTGTAGAGCAGTAACTTCTCTCTGAAAAAAACCCCAGCCAGCCAAACAAGTTAATACACGTTGTGTTGTTCCCCTTGAGTTAGATACCTATGCCCAGTAGAAACTGGATTAGGCTTCATGTATCCTAACAGGGGCCTGAAAAGACAAGCAGATGTCTTTTCAAGGCAGTTACTATGTTTTGCAGTTATGTATAACTGTCTTGTAAGCTTAACATGCACATTTACCAGTTTTGACTCTGAACTCTTCATTTCAGTCTGCTGAAATGTGGGCTTCTAACAACATTTTCTTTTCAAAACAACAGTAGTGTGCTTGTACAACAGCTTCTGTGAGAGGTCTTTATCATGGGTAATGGGCGAAGCCTGCTTGGGGTAATAATTCGTCTTAGGGTTATGAGAATTGTTATTCTGCATTTTGTAGAAGGAGATAAAACATCAAAAGGTTTAAATCAATTTTGTTGAAAAAAATGCTTACTGTCATCAGAGGGTCACTCAAATCTGCTAAAACCTATTTTCTGAGGTTTATAGCTGTTACTGAAGTGAGGAAAAAAAACCATTGCCTGAACACTTCTCAGAATCAAGGCAAAAGGTGCTTGCAGTCGAGTAATACCCATCTTGAAATGCTGACCAAGCTAACTTGCCAGGCATATGGCTTCCTGAAGCACATTTTCAGTGATGTTTTGGTTTGAGTCAGGAGTGTGAAATTTAGTCCTCCTTACAAACTTTCATTTACATCCCAGAGTGATTTTGGTCCACATCAACTGGATGTCAGGACTCCAGTTTTCACTCTCAGATCTGCTACTGCGGGTCCCCAGCATTTGCTGATGCTAAAGGCAACATGGCAGGTAGTCCTTCTGCCCTGGAGGCCAGGTGAACTGGACTACAAATACGGAGTGAGTTAGTTAGAGAAGGGGCCCTATTTCATTCCTTGTATCAGAGATCAAACTAGGGGCATGAAGTGACAACTTGCCAAGAGTAAAGAAGGTAATTGCTGACGAAAAGTGAAAAAAAAAAAAATTGCTTCCCACAGTATTGTCTTTCATTCCTATAAGGTTTTGCAGTTTATAACTGTCCCTTCTGTTCTAGTGAAAAAAACAACACCACAAAGAAACAACAAAAAAATTAAACTGCAGCAGTAATTCTCTTTTAGCATTTAACACCTTGATAAATATAGTAACTGAATTCGTGACTACCATTTACCATATATTTCAATTTCCTATTATTTTTCTTGTTCTGTAGGTGATATATGCCCTGAACATTAAGAATGATGAACATGAGGCTAGTATACAGGCTCTGAGAGAGGCTCATGAAGAAGAAATTCAGCACATTCTTGCTGAGACAAGGGAAACAATTTTCCAATGCAAAAGCAAGGTTGAAGAAGAACAATTGCTGAGAAAACGTATTCAGGCCCTTGAAATTGCAGTAGAACAACACAAGAGACTAAAGGAAGAAGCCTTGGCAGAGTTAGCATTGTGCAAGCAGCAGGCGGAAGAGAGGGAGCCGACAACAGAAGCGAAAAAGGCACTGAAGGTCCTTTCTATGGACACAGTAGATGCCAATGCAGACTTTCAAAACAAGCTTCTACATTTAAATCAGGAGTCTGATGGACTGCTGAATGAATACAAAGCATCTAGGAGAGAAAATGTAGATAAAAAAGTAATTTTAGATGAAAAATACAGTGTGAAAGGACAAGATCTAACAAATGAGATGGAAAGCCTGAAGAGTGAGAACCAGAGAGCAACTGAAGAATATGCTCAGAAAACAAGCAAACTTCAAGCCTCTTATGAGAGAGAAAAAGAGAATTTGAAAAAGGCTATGCAGCAACCCATGATAGCTGAAACGAACAGTTGTGAGCAAAGAGAAGTGGAGCAGAGAAAGAGCTCAGAGGCTGAGGACGGTCTTTTACTGCAGCAGGTAAAGAAGCTGGAGGCAGACCTGGAGGAGAAAAGACAGAAGATAAATGAGAGGAAGAAGCATTCCCAGAAGCTGAAGGAGAGAATACAGGTAGAGTATGAGACTGTGATCCCTATCTCTGCCTAGAAAAGTGCAAATTATAAATTCTTTGAATTTCAGGAGAGGAGGGGTCTTTTGAATATCATATTGAGTCAAATGCTTTATAAGGGCTAAAGCAGTTTTAGAGGCTTAGAAGAGAAGTAGGAGGGATATGAGAGAGACTTTTAAAGAAAGAGTTAAGATGATTACTAACTCATTAGGAGAACTCTTTGAGCACTAGACTTTGTATTCTCTGAGGGAGGGTTGAAGTAAAATTTGTCTGTTGACTGAACAGAGCTTTACCTTTCCTGCCCAGAAATGTGGAGAGAACAGCAAGCAGGCACTAATGCTAGCAATGAGTGTTTACAGAGTACATTCTCCTTTTCCCATGTGGTTGCCAACAGCTCATTGCATGGATATGAACAGGGTTAGATAAGATACCTGAGCTGGCAGGTTAGGAATCAATTACTTTATATTGTATGACTCTTGCAACAGTGGCTTGTACCAAGTGGCATTTAATGAAGTGTCTGTTACACCTGTGAAGTTTTATGTGCTTAGCCATGAGACTTTTGCCATTAGTTCTCACCTCTCACTTTGCCTGTCTACCCTAGCTGGTGTATATCTCATACATTTGCAGCACAGCTCTGCAGGCTCTTTCTGCTTAGTTGCATTGTGTCAGATGCTGTTTCAGTGGTTGGCACATCGTGGGCAATCTGCCAGTCAGCTGCATTTGGTACATAAGGTCAGGGTGTGAGAGAGAGACACATGAACTATGCTGAAGCCAAAGCACCCAGCCATGCTCTGTGCCCCACAGTTCCACTTCCTTCTAATACTATTGGTCTTTCCCATCACGTAAACTCACCTACCAGACCTGTCCCCAGGCCTATGACAGCAATCTCGCATACTAGATAAGAAAACACCTTGAAGGTCTAGACTTGGAGAATTTCAGAATTGTTTCTTGATGGGAAATCAGATTTATCTCCTTTAGAGTCAGAGAACCCCAGAATCCTGTAGAGAGCAGGGTCACCCCAGTCAGCTGTGTTCCAAGACAGTTCTGACCCTTTTCACCATCTGCCCTCGCATCTTGCCTGTCAGCATCATTTTGCTGATTGTGCAGAGTTCTGGGCCTCTTCTTGGAGGATGTTCTTTGAGGGAGTTCAGCCTTCAATACAGTTGCTCTGTTTTTGTTTCACAGGATCAAAGGGTGAATTGAATATGCCTTCCCCAACATTATTCAGACTCCATTCTCTGTGTGTCGATCTACAGCAGAGCAGCCTCTATCTTCTGCAGAAGAGTGGAGAGAATATAATGAATGGCAGAGATGCAGTTAAGCATTCATTTTTTTAACATTGAGTCAGGGAAATCCGTAATATCTATTTCAATAAGGAAGAGTGTCCTGTCTCTGTACTCTGTAGAAGTTTGAAGGGATAGAGGAGAAGAGGGAAAGTAAGATCCGGATTTCTTGTGGGTACTTGAAGAAACATTCTGGAGAAATGAAGAATGAAGACATGAAAATTTATGCACATGGTTTACTGCTGTGATTTATTGTATGAAAAATGCAGTCCTTTGGTAATAAATAATGTAAAACATGATAGGAACTAGAAATAAGAAGGTGGCGTCATTAGCAATTTAATTTCTAAATTCAGTATCAGCTGGATAAACGTCAAATATTTTCTGAGGGGCATATGGTCAACTTGTACATTTCAAATCCTCTAAGTCTGTGGAATGAGGCCGATTTACATACCACCAGAGAACATTGCTGTGAATCTTTAAAGAGATAGCCTCAGATTAGGATAAATCTGGAAGAAGGAAAACTGTTAGATACAACGTCGTTTTCTGTTTCTTTCCAGTTTAAATAAAACGTAGAGGTTTCTCCTGTCTAAATTGGCTATTTCTGATGCCACCATTAAATGCTACCTTTTCTTCAGAATCCTGTGGACAATGGCAGACTGGGAAACAGGAACATTTCTTTGATCAGTAATACCTCTGTTCATTAGTAAATACTAACAAGAAAAGCTATTATAAGGCTTGAAAGATAAAATAACTTGTGCTTAAGCAAGGTAAATTTTCTGTTTTCTCCTTAGTGTATGCCAAGAGGTGAGAGACCTTTAGATGAAAGGTATCATATTTACTTACTTTACATTACAATTTCACGTTTATTATTATTACTGTGAAAGAGAGAATACAAAGGATGACTAGTCATTAAGCCTGATCTGCTCGGTCTAGTTTTGGAGGAATCTCGGCATATGTCAGAGCTAAAAGGAACAAGCTTACTTTGAAGTTTTCAACTACAGAGTGTTACATACATATTAGTTTTAACCCGTGAGGTTTTACTCAACGTTCATGTAGGAACAAGCAATTTTGTCTTGAGTGAATACTGCAGTATTGTGTTGGAAACTGAGACTAGAAACTCCAAAAACAGAACATTAAATACGATTCAAATTTTTACCTTTAGTTATGGACAGACAATTCCCAGCAAAGTCTGTAGGAGCTCATTTTTCTGCTTTTAAGCATCTGTATTATGGGTTATGTTACAAACTCTTATACTTCAGCAACTGGAAAAAAAACTGAGCTGATATTCATTAATTTTTAGCACAAGTTGTCATGAAATTAATGGAAGTATGTCCTGTTTCAAGTTGAGCATAATCTCAGACATCTTTTAGATGGTAACTCTTGATGAGTATTCACTTTACAATGATGCCTACATCTGAGGGAATAGCTCCACATTACAAATATGCTGGCAGCAGAAACAGTTTAAAGATGTGGAACAGCAAAAAATGCATTTAAATCAGCTCTGCAGGTGAAAGATTTATCATGGAACTGTGACAAAAGAGAAAATGAGCATTTATTTCAGGTGACAAAAAAAGAACATATGTGGTAAACATAGAAGTAATGTCATAGATATTTTAGGATTTGTAAGTGTAGCTTACGGGAACACAACAAGAAATCCTGGGTTTAAAAGTTACAATGAAAAATGTGGAGGAAGATCTAAGTGTAGTCAAGCAGAGAAATATACTTCAAGAGAAGGAGATCCTGGAAAAAGCAGGTAAGATGCTCACTAATGTCATTCTGAAGTATTTCCCTTGTTAGTAGTCACTCACATTGGGAATTCCACAAGTTATTTATGCTATTTTAAATGTAAATTTTGATACCACAGAACATATGGAAACTATATTGAATTCCCAAACCAAAGCTATTAATGAAGTAGATGAACTGAAACATCAAATAACACAGCTGCAGCAAATAAATTCTACCAGAGCTAGCACAAGAGTGGCTCTGAAGATGTCCAAGAGCTTAAACAGGTGGTTTACTTTCAAATATGCAAAGGCATGGCACACCAAAAGTACAGCGTTGTTTTTCTTTGAAGATTAACGGCTTTTGGGTTATTCTACGGCAGTCCATCCTGTAAGATTCCCAGATCTCTGACCTCATCCAGTGGAACTCTGACTCATGTTCATAACCTGAAGTACGTGAGTTGCTGCAATGACAGCAAAGAAACTACTGACATCCTTGAGCTAGACCAGGACAAAGTGTTCAACTTCTGCTGTAACCAGAACTTCAAAGAGAGCAAGGTCCCAGGTAGACTTTCTCTGTTGAGGTCAAGATGGCATACTGATTTATTTTTTTAAAAACAGAAAACAGTTTGTATGAAAAGCTATGCAGAAATAGTACCAGGAATAAACTCGGTACAATGAGGGATGTATGTCTGCCGAGAGTTTCCTGTGTACAATGTCTCCCCTTAAACAATTATCCAGCCCCAAATCTTTTCTATATTTTTTAGTTCTCCTAGAATATTGTTATACTAGCATTCTGGAATATTAGACCTCGTATCAGAGACGTAACAAAAGACAAATTGTCCTTTGTACTTTTTCACAGAACTAAGGTTGTCCTTGAGGAAGACTTGCATGGTTTAAAGTGAGTCGGACACCCAAACCCAAACCACAACAGCAAAAAAAACCCATCCCTAGACTGCAGAAGAGGCAGACAGCCCTGAGTCACTACGGTTCTACACTGTTAGCTAAAATAAAGCCAGTGTTTTTCAGTGGACTATATCCACCTAAATATCATATTCACTACAAAACAGACTACTGCCACCCCAGAATTCTACCCTGGTTTTGTCATATTATATAGCTAGTGTTTTACAGACTATGGAAACTGTAGCTATTTAAAAAGAGAGCATGAATAAAAGACACAGAGAACTTGCTTTGTAAAGGCAAGCTTCAGTCCCATAAGGAAAAGATTTGTCTGAAGGAACAGCTTTTAAAAGGGCTGGAAGATCTTGTAATGAAGCATACAGAGGAAATCAAGCCAGTCTAAAACTTTATGGAAGCTGAAAGAAGAAAATGCAGAAGGTAAGAATGTTCTTCTATTTATAGATGCTCTAATTCATCCGGTTTTAATCTTATTGGTCACAGTGACATCATTTAAATTATCCTCACTGGAGGCACTTTGAATTAACATAAAACGCAAGGATTTTCTCGCTACAGTCTTACTGGAAAAAAAAAAAAAAAGGAAAAAACAAGTAAAACTGATGTATTTCTGTGAAAAGCTCCACAGTCAGGAAGGTGAATTTATCCTTGATGTGATAAACTGCCTCCTTAGCAACACTTACCCTTGCATGCTTTGCATGTGACAGTTGGGGGTGATTAATACAAGGTCCCTCCTGAAGAAAAATGTATTATAGGTGTGTTCCAATTTCTGACTTCAATTTCCGTGGATTGCTGTTTTGAAATACCCAAATACATTGATTTAATGAAAATTTTGCGTTGTTTAGTCAGAGAATCTAGTTCTGCAAAGTGCTGGTAAATGGATTCAGAGTGCAGGTGTTACCAATGAAATGACAACTGGTCACAAACAAATACATGCATATATATGTCCTTATTTAACTTTAGTCAGAAGGAATGCCATCTTCTTGTGGATCCAGACAGGCTGAGCTGTGATTTTTGTTCTTGGTCTGTATTAGCAGCGTAAGCATTGGCTGAAGAGATTCTTCACAGAATTTCGCTTTCACGAGAACTGCTGTCTGTGGCTGAATCCTTTGGCTTCAGGAAATCTGCAATCTGTAACGTTACTGTGTGATAGGAACCTGAATGTGAGCCAAAATCTATTAAAATGGAGGAAAATCTTGAAACACATGTTTAGTTTTAAGCACATGCTTTAATGCTTAGTGAAGCTTACAACTCAGTGCATGCTCAAGTGGTTTGCCAGATTTGAGCATAAACTAAGGAGGAATTTAGTTTCTATCTCCTAATATACTTATGAGTTTGTCAGACACCTTCTAGACAAAAAAAAAAAAGATTATTAGAGCAGTTTGTACAATTGGACAACCAGACTACTGGTGAAGTGTTCTTTAGACCCTTCTTGGTGCTAAGAATGTACTCCTGCCCATTTTTCCTAGTGTTTATGCTGCTATACCTTTCCAAGTTCAACATTGACTTGAGAATAATCAAGTCGCTTGCTGGCAAGTTGTGAAGTCATAAAAAGCACGCAGCTCCTATCACTAAATGTTGAGCTTCATAGTACATGCTACATTTTGGAGACTAGGAGTTGGTTTAAGTGCTCGTCAGAAGAATTCTTTTCTGCGTATGAAACTCCCGAAGTTTATACATTTGTGCAATCTCATTTCTCAAAAAGGAACCTGTGTGAGTAAATTATTTTATCTGATTGTTTAAGTGCTCACGTTTGATCAGTACGTGAAGATGCAGCACTTCAGGGTACACAGTTACACTATCAGGTATAACTTTATCAAGAGGAATTTACCTTTTATATTGTATGTTCTTTTATGTGAATAAATTTGTACAGGTATACTTAAAATGACACCAGGCTGAAGCTCTTCATGTGAGTCAGATTAAATTTAAATATCAAACACGTTATACTTTGGTAAAAAAGGCATAATAGTAGGCATTTATTTCTTATAGGCAAGACATATTATTGCTTATAAACATCTGTTCTTATAGATTAATTAATTAAATCAGAAAAATATTGAGTTACTAAAACTACAAATTACAGTGTTTTTCATTGCTAGTGCTGTTGGTATCCTCTGAGGCAATTAAGGCCTGTAACAGCTGTTTGAGAGTATTATATCAACTTTCCAGGTAGAAAAATTCAGATCCAGAGAAGGAAGTCAATTGGCAGAGTTGCAGTGGGAATGCTGCAAACACCTGATCTACACGTTTTGATCAAAAAGACCATTATGTCCTGTCCTTTTCTTACAAATAGAACTAAAGCTAATTTCTCCCTTGCAATATGTCTCTGTGTTTGATTCCATCCTTTAACTGCTACCTAACTGTTATCCTGTTTTTAGACTGTGAAATGCTAATGTGTTCTCCTGTATTTAATTATGAGTTGCAAGGAATACATCGCTATTGACTGTGCTTCTGTTTCCTAATATCATGCCATCCTCCCAGTGATTAATGCTTTCTTAGTTTTTAGGTACTTTTTCTGTTATTTTCAATTCTTAAGTCATTCTGCTATAAAAATGGGGGCAGGAGGGTTGTAAGAAGAGGCTGTACAGGATGGAGGAGGTGTTAAATTGGGGTTTTTTCACTGTTTCCTCTGTTTGTGGTGTCTGAAAATAAGGTAGAATTTTTTTTTGAGTCAGCAAATTGTCACAAATAGGAAGAACAAGCAGCTTGTAATATATATCACTTCAGAACATTTCTAGAAGTTTCACATTCAGTCTTTCTACAATAAACGATTTCTCACATTTGCTACAAACAATATCTAGAAGCTCTTGATCACTGTCTTGCAAGCAGTATTATCATTGATTTTTCAGAAACTATTTCCAGCAATAAGGTGATAATATAGTCTTGAATTTTTAATTTTATAGTGTTTTTACTTCCTCACTGGGATTTTCTTTATGGATGCTAGAAGAGCATATAAACATCCTTTGATTCCCTTTTCCACTAACTGCCTGTTGGTTAATCATCTGGTTATTTGTATGGTCAATGTATATTTATGGTTTTTCAGATCTTGTGGGTGACTCTTGCATACTAAATTGTTTCTGAACACGAACACCACTCAAGGCAATATAGTCTGACTCTTCATGCTGTACAGTTTTCCACCTCAGGGGAGCTTTCAGTAGAAGATTAGGATTATGTGAGCTGTATTGTCTAACACTAGTGTTAGAAAGACCCAAACCAAACTATTAACACTTCTTTGATTGAATAATACATGAGTGGCATTAATAGACAGTAGCATGTATTACTGTGTAAACTTCTCTATTGTCTAGGTTAATGTAGAAGAAATGTCTTTCATGCTGCATGTGTTGTTGTAGCTATTGCATGTTTTTTTCTTTTTTTTTTTTTTTCCTTCAGGAGCTCCAGACACAGCTAGAGGAATTTAAAAGAAAGTCTGAGTGTGAACTAAAGCAACTAGAGAAAGAGAAAGAAGTCCTAACAGGGAAACTTCAAAACTCTTCACTTGAGGTAAACTGGGCATAAATGTGACCCAGTAATAAAAGGGCTCTTCATTTTTCCTCTCATCTGCAAGATTCTTGATTAAATTTTAGTCATATTTGCTGTGACTATCATTCAAGAAATGTACAAGGACTCTAGATAGAAATAACAGAAATTACTGATCCTGAACATCTATGAAGTTTTTAACAAGCGAATTTATTTTGATAAATTTCATATATCACTCTTTGGATGTATACTAAGGCTTTTTGGTGAGGAGTTTGACTGTATCACGGTTGGATGGTGACTCTGTTCATCTGTATGCAGGGCTAAGTGAGATTAGAATCTTCCTTGCAGCTCTTCTTGACTTTCTGATTTTTTAGTGTGTGTGTGGACATGTAAAAGGGCCTGCTTGCTTGCTTGCTTGCTCCCTTGAGCAAGAGAATTGAATGGAAAAAAGGTTGAATAGATTATTGTTTCTGTTCTGCCTGCTTAATTGTAAGGGTCGTAACTGAAGCAGATTGGCATGTTCAATCATTTAGTGAGTACGAGTAGTTAGGTATGCCTCCCTCTGTGCTCTCAATATCAGAAAACAAATGGAGATAGCAGTGTGACCCAGAAGTAGCTTTGAGGATGTCATAGCTTATGTACTGTTCCCCACTCAGTCATGATGCAAATCTGTGGACATGGATTAATCTGGAAATAAACACCTGAGATGCATTGGTATTAGATTATCCACAAAATTTTCCACATTAGTACATCTACCAAAATATTTATACAGGAAAGTGTCATTTGAAAAGCCTAACAGGTTGGATAAATAATTTTCTGCCAAAATAAAAGCAGAACCCCTACAAGGCAATTATTTACCCAGGTAAATAGTGCACCTTTAAAGTTTCTGACAACTGTGAATACACATTTTCTCCCTCTCAGGAGTTCCCCTTTTGTGTTGTTCAGTTCTTTTTGGCAAATGCAATCTATCTGCTTTAAAATTCTATGTATGGGATATTTCCTTCTCTTCAGTGTGATTATGTGAAGTTTTTGCCTATGAACGTTTTGAAACTTTTACCTCCTGGATAAGGTATAAAACAACTGCTTTAGGAGAACTGATATCAGTGCTCTAGTGAAAAGTTCTGATGCATTTATTTTTCTACCTAAAGTATATCATTACAGTTGGTACGTTTTTCCAAAGAACAATTAAATGATTTGAGATTGTGTATTCAGGGTGATGATGAGTGAATACACATGTTTTCACCATGAGGATCTGTCATCCATTTTTTCAGTTTTTTCCTACCAATCTAGGTTTTGAGGCTCCAAGATTTTATTAAGCAAAATGAGTATATTCCCAAATATAAAAAAATTCTTCAGTCTAGTTCAAGCAAATGTAATGAACAACAGGAATTAGGTAGCTCACACTATGAAACTATTAAATTACAGATAGCCACTGTTCTAAGTGGCTGCCTGCAATTTCCATTGATTTGCATCTTCACTGATTCTAAGAAGTTTCACTTCCAGCAAGTTCGGTGGGAGCTTGCATGGCAACAGCTCTGCAAAAATTGAAGACCTAGATCTTTCTCAACTGGCATTTGTAGACTCTGAGTGGCCAGAATAAGCTCCTTTTGACTGTTCAAACACAGAAAAAAGACGGATAGGCTCATCAGGGGGGTAAGCAAGATGTTGGCCTCCCTCCCGTACCTGCTTCCACTTTCCCACATGCCATTGCTACTGCTTGGTGCGGCATGTTCCAGCAATTGGGGCACATGTTGTGGTCATTTACTGTGTAACACCTGCTTTTTCTCCCATTCATGCTGTACTAGCTGTACTAGTTTTGAGTGCGGCGTGGTCTTTTCACTTTCATTTCTCCTTTGAAACAGATTTGTGCATTCTGGTATCAAACAGTTGCATTCTGACATTCTATCCCCATTTCCCAGTCTTCGAAATACAGAATTTAAGTGTTGCTGTTAAAGTTCTGGCTAAATCCCATTTTTAGGTTTCATTAAGTATTTGTGCATGCTATAGTTTTCTACAGGTTCTTCTCTGAGACAGTGTAAGGTCAATCCAACCTGTGCTGACGTTTCCAGAGTGACTTCTTTGCACCTAATGCAAAACTTCGGTTCTCAGAAATTGTCTTTACTCTTTTCCAAATTCCCCTAAATGTACATTTTTCTACCAAAATATCTTAGTCCATTCAAAGCTGAAAACTTACCATGATATTCTGGCATCCCTGGGTAATGTCTGAAAGTTATTGTGGTTTGAGGTGTGAGGAGAAGAGATGGAAGGGAGGAACAGTGGCACAGTATCTGATCTCGTAGTATTGTGTATGTGCATGCTGGTGGTGTATTCCACTGAAAGGTCTCAAAGAAATCAAAAGGCTTATGACATGAAGCAATTATTCTTCAGGTTTTGCAGATGGAAAAAGTGAGGCAATGAGTCACCAGATTACTTTTCTTGAAGTCACGCGCGTGGGACAGAAACATAAGAAAGAAACCTGTGTTTCCTAACTGCTAGTCCGCTCATATCGTGAGATCATCGTAAATGCAAGGGGCAGTGGGAAATTATTGCCACTATAAGCATAAACATAAATAAATAATATAAAATAGTATATATCATGTTATATGTTATGTGCACAACACCATAGTAAGTATGAACAGATACACTGAGAAACATTTTAGCGTATCTTAGACTCTAACAACGCTCCCAAAAGGGAGGAAATGCTCCCTCTAAAGAGAAAATTTGCATTTTTCTCGGCAGTCTATAAGTTACTTTCTGAACAAATTACTTGGTAGTGTTGCCAGGGAGGTGAAGTAATTTCAGGTTATATATTTCCTTCTATAAATATGTGAATATTCACAACCAAGAAACCACCATTTATTATACAACATTATGTTTCACTAAGGGCATGATTCCCAGCTGGGAACCTTTGCAATGGCTCAGCCCAGAGCTTCCGCCTCAGAAGTTAGCCAATGTGCTGTTACTAATCCAGTTCTAACCTGGATACAATTTTGGATCTAAAAATAGCTTCCTTGGCTGCATAAGGTTTGGTTTTTGGTTGGGCTGACATAGCTAGAGCACTATGCAGAGTAGGCAGAATCATGATCATTTCACCTCTCTGGGGATGCACTTCAGAGTAACAGTATTCTGTATTACTGAGATTTTTCTGGGTAAAGAAATCAGATTCGCACCTGTTTGGTCCACTGGAAGGACCTGTGTGAGATTCTGTGTGAGTTGAGTGCTAATTCATTGATGTCCTCCAGTTCTTTGCTTTTGCACTACAGGATCTCTTCAACATGTGTTAGAGGGGCTATTCTGGAATTATAAGGTATGTAAAATGGAAATGCAGGCAGCACCTAGTCGTGATACATCTTTGAACAATGCTAGTACAGCAATGCCCAGAGCCTTGACAGAGACCTTGTAGGTACCACGATATATCAGCAGTAGAGGTGTGCCTAGTGTGTTCACACCTGTCCCTCCGGTCACGATTTGCCATAAGTTTAGAAAGGCAGTTAACTGTGAATTTAACTGAAGTAACTCTGAAATAAGCCTAAAGACAACACTAAAATATAATGTAATTATTTCGTTGTTACTTCTTACACAATGTTCCCATTTTGATGTAGTAGCATCACAGTACAAGTAAAACCCTGTAGCATTTGAGTGCTTTATTTTGTCTCTGAACAAATACTCAATTGTGGTGACTCTTCTATAATACATCAAAAGGCAGTTTTAAGTCTTTTATATAAATTCATCCGCTAGCAATGCATTGAGAAACTCTGATCTTTCTACTTAAAAGATATGGGAAGTCAAAATATTCTCTCTGATTCCAACTTTAGATCGTGCCTTTGCGATTTCACACTTCTTACGTACAATAAATAAAAGAAGGGGAGAGCAGACATAAGATAGACTTCAAGTATTCATAGTTCTTGCAAGCACAGCGAATTAAAATAATCAAAGCAGAAGTTAAACAGGGGAGCTGACTGTGATGGCATGCACAGCTTTATACTTGCCCAGTATTTTTACCCATGGGTTATCAAAGTCTGAGAGGTACATCTTCAGGAGAATCAAGCCATCCTTCTTAGGTGAAGGACAATAATTATGGTTAGAAAAGAATGAAACTTCAAAGACTTTTGAAATATTTCAGAACTGATCTGTCATCTTTTAGTAATAGTTGTTCTTTTTTTCTTTACTTGGAATACAGTGGGAGGCAAAACCAGCTGTCATAAGAAAGGGCAAGTGCAAACATAAGCCTGAAATGTGAAAAGAATTCAGTAGAGCCTAGAAAAATACTGTTGCCTAGACTTTATGCTATGGATAGGTATCAGTTGCATCTTGAAGACCACTTTATGCAATTCTGATGGATAAAATTGAATGAATAAGGGTATTAGGGGTACAGTTTTTTCAAGAGGTTTAGTTTTGCAGCAGAAAGACATTATAAAACACAAATTCACACAATTTTCCTGGTTTGTTAACAGTAAAAGGAGCCAGACAGATTCTGGACTGATGTAAGTTGGCATAGTTTCATTGGCTTAAATGTTGCTTTACCAATTTAAACAAATTGAGGGTCTGGCTATCTGTTTTGAAGTAATGAAACACAGTAAAATGCCTGGACACTGCAAAATGTTCCAGAGAAGGATTTGCAATGGTGGATGGGGTGTTGGTTGACAGCCAGCTGAACATGAGCCAGCAGTGTGCCCAGGTGGCCAAGAAGGCTAACAGCATCCTGGCTTGTGTCAGGAATAGTGTGGCCAGCAGGAGTAGGGAGGTGATCGTGCCCCTGTACTCGGCACTGGTGAAGCCGCACCTGGAGTGCTGTGTTCAGTTTTGGGCCCCTCACTACAAGAAAGACATTGAGTTGCTGGAGTGTGTCCAGAGAAGGGCAATGAAGCTGGTGAGGGGTCTAGAGAACAAGTCTTGCGAGGAGCGGTTGAGAGAGCTGGGGCTGTTTAGTCTGGAGAAGACGAGTCTGAGGGGGGACCTTATTGCTCTCTACAACTACCTGAAAGGAGGTTGGAGTGAGGCAGGTGTTGGTCTCCCAGGTAACTATCGATAAGATGAGAGGCAATGGCCTCAAGTTCTGTCAGGGGAGGTTTAGATTAGATATTAGGAAAAATTTCTTTGCTGAAAGAGTGGTCAGACATTGGAATAGGCTGGCCAGGGGGGGGGGGGCGGCACCATCCCTGGAGGTGTTTAAAAAACATGTAGATGTGGCACTTCAGGACATGGTTTAATAGGGATGGTGGTGTTGTGCGGATGGTTAGACTTGATGATCTTAGAGGTCTTTTCCAACCTATGATTCTATGATCTGAAAGCCCTTTTGATTAAAAGACAGGAGGAAGAAACCTGATGGGATGGAAATGTTTGTTCTTAACCTCTAGTATGTTAGAAGTAGGAGGATTCGTGAGAAAGAGGGTATTTGTTTGCATGATATATAT